GAACAATTTCAAGGGATTAAATTTCCGAAAATCTCAACAGTAACAGGAGAAAGTGTGAAAGATCAGAAAAAGCTCTTAAATTTTACCTCTGAAGAATGATGAATGTTATATACCGAAATCATTATATCTTGACCAGCATTGACTTTGTAATTCCCGGGGAGGACATCAGCTACTTGAGCTCTTCTTATCAGGACCTAATAAAACCAGTTCTCTAAAAAATCAGGTTATCAGAAGATAATGCATAACTATAAAGTCATCCAAAAATTGACTGACTTACAGGTGGATGCGGATAGAGTCTGAGTGACTCAGTTATGCACCGCGTTAAGAACTTGAGATTCTTCATGTCTTCATAGGTTGGAGAGCGTCCTCCCAAAACTCTATCTACTTCCTCATGTGCTTTTTCCAAAGAGGAAGGATTCTGCATTAAGAACATAAAATATGAGGGAAGAACAGGTTTTCTATAGTCTGCATAGTTTCCATCATGCACCATGTTTTATTGAATACAAGATTATGAATTATATCAGAAAAACATATGCTCATGGGATCGCCATTTCTTTCTAAAGAAAGACCAAAACATATCCAAGAGGAAAACTAGAATGAAGCAACTGGATTTGTCAAAGGGCAATGAAACCTGTTAAGAATTCCTAAATAGCAGAATAATGGTTGAAAGAGATGAAACATGATTAACATGTGCTACCATAAGTGACATCATGCAGTGCGTTTTTGCTAAGAACATACGGATAGAACAATTCTTAGTAAGTTGTCCACGCAGTATTGTCCTTGGGTAAGAAAAAGCTCTTTAACTGGCATTTCTTTTAGTTGCCGAGTACCATATTTTACAGGTTCTTTTTCTATCTCTTTTTAGATAAGTCATCATATGTCACAGGCTAAGTCATCTTTTCTTCGAGTCATCATATGTCACAGGCTAAGTCATCTTTTCTTCGAGTCATCATATGTCACAGGCTAAGTCATCTTTTCTTCGAGTCATCATATGTCACAGGCTAAGTCATCTTTTCTTCGAGTCATCATATGTCACAGGCTAAGTCATCTTTTCTTCGAGTCATCATATGTCACAGGCTAAGTCATCTTTTCTTCGAGTCATCATATGTCACAGGCTAAGTCATCTTTTCTTCGAGTCATCATGTACTTTCTTGTGGATGGGGAGGAATTTAAGTCAGCGTAAATGTCATAGAGATAAGAAACAGAACCCACAGGCCACAACAATTAAGTTGACTTCAAATAGCTGTCCCTCTGACAAGCCAAAAGAAGGAAAGAGGTTAAAAGAAATCTTTTTCAACTTACATGAATGAACAACAATGTCCAAAGATATATGAATAGTTTCTCACCCATTGAAGAACCACATTTTAGAATCAAATGCTAAAACCATGACTTTGACATAAACACACAGAAGAGCAGGGTTATTTCTAAGTGTACTTGCGGCAGTGAGTGTTTACCTCCTAAAAAGCCATGTGCAATATTTTAAATGTAAAAGGGTCTAAAGGCTGAATTTAAGATGGAAAATACAACTAAAATATGCACCAAATACTAAGAAAAAAAGCAACTTTGCACTTCTCTGCTGCACAATTTATTGTTTGTCATTCCAGTTGGAAAAATATAGAATGATAACTTAAGAGGGAACTAAGGATTCAAGATGGTCAATCAAAGATACCTTACTCAGCAGGTATGCCGTCCAAGTCAAAACTGAACCTGTGGTTTCATGCCCAGCAACTAGCATTGATAGAAGATCATCTCGAAGTTGTACACTTGAAACCTGAAATTCAGAAAGTTAACATGTACTGAGAATGCATATTAAGCTAAATATGCAGTATTTTGTCTTGAAGAAGAAATCACCTAGCATTTTTTTTGTCTCGGTTGAGATTTGAACCCTGATCTCCTATGATTTTCATTTTCACCCACTTTAGTGACCACTAGGCACACCCTTGGGAGATATGACTATGACTATGATTGCATGAGAACTTAAAACAGTGGTACTAACTGTAATTCACATTAACATACTATAGATGATGCTATTTACCTAAAAGAAGTTCAATTTCGAAGAAGTTCTGTAATCCATACACAGAAAGGAAGTTCAATCAGTTAAATGTCAAATGAGTTAAAATCTTGACCAACCTCCTCACGGCTAGCAAGCAAAAATCGAAGAATGCTTGGATCTCTATCATTCACGTACTCATCTTCATTAATCCTCTCACCCTCAGATTCTACAATCTCTCTGCACTTTGCAATGAGCTCTTCAACTGTTTGTCTGATTAGTGAAACTGCATTTTCAGCCTTTATTTGTCGTGGGATGAACTTACATAAGGCTTTGATCTACAAAAACATGGATGAGTTCAGCCAAAATTATCAGATAGATTAAGCTCGCAAAAACCATTCAGGCATAGGAAGGACTTGCCTGCCAATATGGCAACAGATCAGTTGAACGGAGTTCTGCTTCTTTTAATGCAGTGTATACTGCATCAATAACTGGACTGTCAGTAGTAAGGGAATCAAAATTGTAATTGAAGAGTGCAAGACCAATAACATCAAGTGTTAGTTGAGAAAACTTTGCCTCCATATTCACTGCAGAGCCAGAAATTGCATCAGGTAAAAGTTTCTCCACCATTCTCTCAGCACATCTGCAAAAGACCCGATCAACTATTACTGACAAGTACTTCTTGTGAAGAGATGGAACCACTGCCCTTCGCCTTGCCTATATCAAATTAGGTCTTTAAGCTCAAAACAACACATTGGTGACCATAATAATGTTATACAAGGGTACTGTACTTTCCATCAATTATAACCTACTAACAAATAAATTATCAGTTACATCATCAATAATAACCATAGTTCACGGGAATTCCATATTTCATTAGTTTATTACCAAACATGAGGTCACCTTGAGCTTGACATCACATTAGTTTTCACTAGACTAGAGTCGAGAGTGTGCTTTCCTTTTATGCTCTGTATATAGTATATACCACACACTAAACTAACAAATTACAACAATCCAAAGTAGACAGAAAAGATGAGAATCTTGGGGACATCTAAATTTCATATTAGTATTCACCAGATTGAATCCAAATTCCAGTTTATATAGAAGATACAAAAGTATTGACCCTAATTACCAAACTAAAGCTCCATAAAAGTTAACCTTTTATTTTAATAATCTACTAAAGGACCCTCATTTGCTTGGCATCAACTAAAATGGAACTTTCAAACTCTCTCTTTAAACCACAAGGTGTCATGCTGCATAATTCAACGATATCAACTGCTATGCGCCAATTCAGACTTGTTAGGTCTGTGTTCTATATCAATTCCATTCTATTTGGACTCATTTCATTGCTATACCAATAAAAATGAAGTTGTATAGTTCAACAACACCTACACCTCAATTCCAAACTAATTGGAGGTCAGCTATATGAATCCTATGTATCTGTTTCCCTCTTCTTGGACCCATTTCATTCCGATACAAATACATTTAACACTGCATTATCCTTTAACACCAAGTCGTGTTAAAGCAATATCTACAAATGTGCATGTGAAACTGCATAATTCAACATCTATAAATCGGCTACATGAATCATCTACATCCACTCTGCTATATGTGGCCTATTTCATAAGGAAATACTCCCCTGTCCCAATTTAGTCCGTTGACCACAAATTTCAAAAGCCTTCCTTTTTTCTTCAAAACTTTGTGCCAAGTCAAACGTTATCACATAAATTGGAACGGATGGAGTAAATCAAGTTCCACAATTAATAAAAAAAATAGGTAAAAACAAAATTTAGGAATAACAAGAGATACACAAAACTTACCGTCCAAAGAGGACCTTCTGCAATGGCAAAACCAGAACCAAACAAAAACTCAGAAACCTCAGCAACAAGTCCTTTACCATACTTTCCATAATTCTTCAAAACATGCTTAGCAATAGCAGGATCACTAACAATAACAAAATTCCTCGGCCCAGCAGCAAGACGATAAATAGGTCCATACAAATTCATCCATCTAAACAATGGAAGAAAAAGAGCACCACCCAAAAGTTCAGAAACATCATCAAGCTCAGCACTCGCAATGGGTATGTTAGAATCATCATTTTGGCCTAAAGTAAGTGACCTGGTAAGTTTAGTTAGCCAATCTGGACTGACCCATGAAGTGGGTTTAGTTGAAGGTGGTTTCTTGTTGTCAATGGAGGATTTAATGGTGAGTTGTGAACGATTTTGAAGTGGGTTTTTTGGGCGGAGAACGGTGGTCCGGTGGTGGGGGTGGGTGGTGGGGTTAGTGAGAAGAGAGAAGGAAGAAATGGTGACCGAAAATGGCATGGTGATGGTGAAGGAGAAGCAAATATGTAAAGTGGAATTTCAGACATTCATATGTTATAGAAATCTTTTATCCACATTATCATCTAGTCGTACAAGAAAATATAAAAAATAAAAATAAAATTAATAATAATAATAATAATTAAAAAAAATACTATATAAACATGTTCTTTAATTTAGCTTCATTTGATATCAACGTCCTCCAACTTTGGGCTTACGTAGACACTAAGACGTGAATTGTCACATACATACATACATGTGTCTACTTATTCAACTTTATATATATTTATATGTCTATTTGTGCACATTCAATTAATATAATGGTTTGGTTTGTTTTTCACATTTTTATTTAATGACATAATTTACTCTTTAAATGAGTTAATTTTTCATTTGTCTTTCAAAGTCATGTCTAGCAAGAAATAATTCTTTGGACGTTCGGGTTTGAGCCTTAAATATGAAAAAATTCTTGGCAAGAAATATTTTCTTTCAAATGGGACCCTAACAACACGCATTCAAAATAGTCGGCTACCGAACACTAGATAAAAAATAAAAACTAAAATCTTTAAGAACATGACACGTGCATGTCATTAAATTGATTTCTTAATAAGCCAATCCAACAAACCGTCATCAGAAAAGGAAAAAAAACAGGCATTCTTAAAGCAGACCATTTTCTGACATCTCTACCACAGTAAATATAACTGAATTTTCTTATAAAACAGTACTGTACTTAGTCCTCTTATATCAAGCATGCTACCCAGTAGAGGCCAAACTTGGGATAAATTTGTCACAAAATTATATCTGAAGCAATATTATGGTACACACGCTTTTAGAAACAAAGGAAGACTCAGCTCTATAATATTCACACACATCATATTAAGCAAAACATTCAGCCAGTTATAGATGTCTTTGCAGCAAGGTGTGTAAGTGCACGTTTGTGGTAACTTTGTCGTAGCTTCTTGTACTTCTGCACAAATGTTGCAAGATCGATTTCCCCCTCGAGAAGCTGTTTGTCTAGATTTTCAGATTCTTCGTCTGTTTTTCTCATGGCATCTGTATAAAGTGTAAAAAATCAGATTCTTATAGTTCTTTCTTTGCATGTCTGATAGCTTCATATCATATGAAACTTATAATCCTATGCTAGTCAAAGTAGAACAAGGCAACACCATTCAAGAAAGGCACTATAAAAGTGCTAGAGAGCAAACACTATGGAGTAGAGTTACCTAAATTTCTAGCGGCTGAAGTCATGTCTATACTGTGAGGATTAAATGTAGGAGGACTATGAGAAACTGTTTCCAGTAGCAAGTAATAAGGCATCGTGATATATACAAAGGCAAGTCGATAGATTTTAGCCATGCAAATTTATGACACCTGTGAATGCACAAGCACTAATACAGTTGACTGTTCCAGGAGCTTAGCAGAAATCATCTAATCAATTTGATGGAACAGAAAACTACACAACTTTAGAACTAACAATGCAGCACCACCTGTTGAGTCAAGAAAGCTCCCGAATGCATCAGATCCTTACTATTTCCATATTTGAAAAAGTTTCCTTTTTATGATGAAACATATTTGAAATGTTTCCTTACTTGAAGTCCAAATAAGACAAGACTGAACTTCTGATAGGCCCTCAACTCTGTTGAAATTGCAGCATTAAGAACCCCCCAAAACCAAAGATCTAATTTTTGTTCTACTGATATATAATTATATATTTCGTTCGAGCTGTCTTGTCATCCCCCACCCCCCAACCAAAAAAAAAAGTATTATGTACTTCCATTTTTTTACCTTGTAGCCGATGGAGGAGTGATGCAGGAGAGTAGAATTTTAATAGCTCTTCTTTTCTCCTTTCCAGTTCATGCAGCTTTTCTTGAGCAGCAGCCAATTCAGTGGTGCGGATGATTCTGCACTGTAATCAGCAACATAAGATCAATAAATAAGACCTTTCCCAATGAATAATTTGATGCTACAAGGTCAAAGTTCTCATAAAAATTGAAAGTAACACACAGAGGAGGTAAGAAGAAGTAATATCTGACCTGATTCCTAAGCTCCATTATCTGCGGTTCTTTTTCTAAATTCTCCCCTGCAAAGAGAGTGGATTCAGAATCTATCTGCTTAATGAATAAAAACCTCTAGTTACAAAGAAGTATCCAGACTTACTAGCAAGTTGCAGAGTTTCATTCCGAAGGTCATCTCTAACCTGATTAGGTAATTTAATGGAAAAACCGTCAAATATAATCCGCACTAATCAAGTGAGAAGAGAGGCTACCTATAGTCCTATAGTAAGATGAATTTAATAGAAAACAATGCTGTCTCACATAAATTAAGCAAATATGAAGATAAGAAGTACAAGAGGATCATTTTGGGCAAAAAAAGGAAAGGGAGGGAATGGAAGAAAGAACAAGAAACATTCATTGACTGTCCAAATCTGCAAGAATCTTAAGATACTTAAATTGCATGAGTGAAAGATTAGAGAAAACCCAATAAAGCACACTAGATGAAACTACTACAGTAACTCTCAACAAGATGGTGAAACACTGGAACAGCTTCAATGCATTCTTTTATTGTAACTTAAAATCCTTGCCATTCATGGAGAAAAACCCCCAAAGAAAGAACAAGAAACATTCATTGACTGTCCAAATCTGCAAGAATCTTAAGATACTTAAATTGCATGAGTGAAAGATTAGAGAAAACCCAATAAAGCACACTAGATGAAACTACTACAGTAACTCTCAACAAGATGGTGAAACAGCTTCAATGCATTCTTTTATTGTAATACCAAAAAAAAAAGTATTATGTACTTCCATTTTTTTACCTTGTAGCCGATGGAGGAGTGATGCAGGAGAGTAGAATTTTAATAGCTCTTCTTTTCTCCTTTCCAGTTCATGCAGCTTTTCTTGAGCAGCAGCCAATTCAGTGGTGCGGATGATTCTGCACTGTAATCAGCAACATAAGATCAATAAATAAGACCTTTCCCAATGAATAATTTGATGCTACAAGGTCAAAGTTCTCATAAAAATTGAAAGTAACACACAGAGGAGGTAAGAAGAAGTAATATCTGACCTGATTCCTAAGCTCCATTATCTGCGGTTCTTTTTCTAAATTCTCCCCTGCAAAGAGAGTGGATTCAGAATCTATCTGCTTAATGAATAAAAACCTCTAGTTACAAAGAAGTATCCAGACTTACTAGCAAGTTGCAGAGTTTCATTCCGAAGGTCATCTCTAACCTGATTAGGTAATTTAATGGAAAAACCGTCAAATATAATCCGCACTAATCAAGTGAGAAGAGAGGCTACCTATAGTCCTATAGTAAGATGAATTTAATAGAAAACAATGCTGTCTCACATAAATTAAGCAAATATGAAGATAAGAAGTACAAGAGGATCATTTTGGGCAAAAAAAGGAAAGGGAGGGAATGGAAGAAAGAACAAGAAACATTCATTGACTGTCCAAATCTGCAAGAATCTTAAGATACTTAAATTGCATGAGTGAAAGATAGAGAAAACCCAATAAAGCACATTAGATGAAACTACCACAGTAACTCTCAACAAGATGGTGAAACACTGGAACAGCTTCAATGCATTCTTTTATCGTAACTTAAAATCCTTGCCATTCATGGGGAAAAACCCACACACACAAATGTAGAACAACTAAATTCAACCATTTCCAGAATACTTGTCCCATAAATAACTTGAATCCTTGCTGCCTCAAACAATTTGTTCATTCAACCAGGTACATGGATACATTGGAGGAGTACAAATAAGAACTGATCAGTTCAACATGCAGAACATGCAAACAAATAATGGTAAACCAGAAAAAATTAAACCTTACTTTATTCTGAGTTTTGACAGGTTCAAGTGAAAGTAATAAGTTATGATATCCATCCTGGTGACATAGAAGGTCCCTTAGCTCCTCAAGGCTGAAATTTTTAACAAGAAAGCAGATCGATAATCAGACACTAAAAGTGAAGCAGAATGAAGAAAGAGGATTAGCACTTCCGTTAATTATTTTATTACCAGATCTCTTACAGTTTATCTCGTCTCATTGTCAAAATATGCACTGCTGGTAACTTAACGAGTGCCATAGAAAGATCAACCAAGATCTTCCACAGAAACTTAAGGCACAAAAGAAACTATATATGCTTAGCAAGATGCATACAGAGATACTTCTCAACATACGGAGCAAACCTGAGGACAACTTCTACCACAAACTTAGACGGCACTTGATCTAGGTAACTGTTTTACTTTTCATTTGTTTCATTTTCAAGTGAGTGTTTGGACATAATTTTGAGAGAACTATTTCATTCATGTGAGTTTATGGACATGCAGTTTTTGGGTCGAAAACAAGAATTTGCTTTGCTTTGTTCTCCGACTTTTCTATTAACCCAAAAAACAATAGCTCTTGTTCCAGAAAACAATCAGAGTAAAATTATATATTTACCAAGATGCACAGACAGGTGTTTCTCGCCTATTAAGAAACCTGAGGACCAACTATGTATTCTTTCTTGTTGGGTTTCCAAATTGTTTTCTTAAAAACAGAATATCTGCAAAGCTACTGCCTTCTAATGAAATATTCTTAGTTCATCAAGAAAGATATCTGGAAAGCTACTCCAATTATTTCTAGAAAAGACACCCTATTAGCATCAATTGTCCATAATGTACTTAGTAGTTTTTAACCGCAACACTGAAGGGCTCTGCTATCAAATAATAAAACTTGTACCAGCAGCAGATTTTATTATAAGTGCTCCCGTTCATCACTAAAATTTGCATTTCATGAAACTCCTAAGAACACAAGCCAAAATTCTGTTACAAAGAGAACTAACTATACTACTCCAAGTGCACAATGGTATCATTACAGCTTCAAGGTTTATCAGGAGTTCAGCAAATTATCTATTGGGATCAGAGAGCTATATGATTCTACAAGTTAGCAGGTCTGAAACCGCTCTACAGACTTGGTCAAAATAAAATTTCATGAGTATCAAAAGTTTGCTCAGTTTTAAAAAAAATGCAGATACAATGGGAAAAAATCTTGTAGATTTTATAAGAATAAAAAAATAAAAAAAAGGGGGGGGGGGGGGGGGGATAAAAAAAAT